TATTTATTTATATCTTTTTATATATTTATATATATAAATAAATATTTATATGTATGTGTATATATATGTCAAATTCTCTGATTTTAGAAAAGTGAAAGATGTTTTTTAATTTTTGAAATAGGCCAAAGAAAACATCTGAAAATTGAATTTTTTGAAATATATAGGGCACAAAATTAGGTTACTCACTTGGCCCAAACACTCCTCTCCAAAATGGGCCAAAGACATTAATTGGATCACCAACTAAATGGGCTAATACCTATTACCATCCAACCCAAACTTGGGTCATCCAAAAGTATAGGTCGTTTCCGAGTCGAGCTAGTCTATGGTGTCGATAAATTATTCGACAACTGTTTTTCATCATCGTCCGGATTTATTGGGTATCCAAAACCCAACAAGGTCTTTATATATTGCTCAATTAGATTTTTCATAATCCCCTAATTATAACAATATTGGTATCTACTCAATTTTTCCATATTTATTAAATTGATAATATAATTGAATTAAATTAAATATGTTGCCATTAATTAGAAAAAATCATTGGTTTTCCTAACCTCCTAAATATTTAGGAGTGCCATTAAATAGAAAAATCGTTGATTTTTCTAACCTCCTAAATAATTTAGAAAATCGTTGATTTTCCTAACAATTTCCTCTACTAAATATTATAGACCCATAAACACTTCATAAGAGGGCATCTTAAATCAACCCAGGCACCAAGCAATTCCACCAAATCCAATCCAAGTTAAAAAGCCTTGTGGTTGCACCTTTTCTTTGCTTCGAAGAAGTGACTCAAAGCATAAGAATAATTCTGCTGCCCAAGATAACGATTTTAACAAATTCTCAAGCAAATTTCCACTTTTTGCTGCTGTTGCCTGGAGCTCGGTTTGGCAAATTGAGTACAACTCGGATTGTTAATGGATTAGGAAGCTTATGTGAAAATTTTGATCTTACACGTATGGGTGGAAATTGAGACCAAATCCCTTTAATTTGCCTGCAGGATCCTTTACTGTTTGAGCCCCACTTTGTAAGAAAATGTGTTTCGAATAATGATTTCTTGGAGTGTGTAATTAAAAAAGAAGGAAATTTTTTTGGTTCACGTGTAAAATTATTTTATGAAGGAATGTATGTTTGGAAATGAGTTTTGAAAAAATGGGGGCCAAACATAGGAGTGACAAAAAATATAAAAAGATGAAAATGATTTACGAACCTTCAAAGCTTTTCACTATTTGAAAAAATTATTCCGAACCAGTGAGTTTTTTCCACACCCGCCAATTTCTACTCTACAAATAGTGTCGTATTGTGTCGCTATGCCGTGTAAATATCTTTGACTAGGTTGAACGGCTACTTCTATGAGTAGTAGTGTTGTATCGTATTGCATTCCCGCTTTAGTTTCCATGCATATGCTTTTAATTAATACTGCATGTATATGGTTTCTTGATTGTGGGAGTTGTTTGTAAATCGAATCTTTGAATCATTTCTGCGAGCTGTAGCAGATTATTCGGAATTTAACTTCAACTGATGCATAAAGTTTATTCTGAATGAGTTTCTTGACAGTATTTTCATCATTCCATGGAGCTGATTCATCTCTCTCTCTCTCTGCTCCAATCTTCCCAATACGGATCTTCTTCTTAATCTTTCTCCTGCGCACGATTATACTGTAACTTTCCTCTACAGTGTTTCGTGTAATATTCTGCATCTGGATCCTCGCCCTAGTTATTGTTGAAAAGAGAAGATAAAAGAAGAAAGACAATTCTATTTCTATGGTGAATAGAATTTACAATAGAGTTTTACAAACTCTCAACTAAACCTCATAAATCTCTCTTTTTCTATCTTCACCATTGGGTTAATTCTCTGAAAATGCATCCCCTATTTATAAGAAAATATTGCGGCCTAATGGAGAAGCCTTCCTCGTTAAGTAAGACAGTTTCAATTCAAGTTTTCTTCTTGCATGGACAAGCCTTTCTCGTTAAATAAGAGAATTTCATGTCAAGTTTTCTTCTTGTTTGGAGAAGTCTTCCTTATTAAGTAAGAGAGTTTCAATAATTGTGACTGAACATATCAGTTATAAGTGTCGAGCTCGTGCGAATTAGGGGAGGAGTTTCTAACTTTAAGGGTGCATTTTGATTGCAAGGGTGAAAAATTGATGGAAAGAAAATATTTTACAGAGAAAAAATTTGTCTAGAAAATGTTTTGTAGGGAAAATGATTTCAAGTGTGTTTGATAAGTTTGATTGGTATAATTTTACACTCGAAAATTTTTAAAATTTTCTATTCGTTTGACTTTATTTTACATGGGAAGTGTTTGTTAAAGTGATAATTTTTTCCACAATTGGTTATAAAATTTGTTTCCATTGCCAAAAAGTAAAAAAAAAAAAAAAAAAAAAAAAAAATTTTTTAAAAAAAAAAAATTTTTTTAAAAAAATTTNCCATTGAAAAAAAAGATTTTTTTTCCAGTCAGCCTGGAAAATTTTTTTTGGTGGAAAAAAATTTTCATCAAAAAGCCGGAAAATATACACGTGTGGAGGAAAGAAGGAAAATATTTTCCGTGGAAAATTTCGCCTATCAAACAACAAAAAAATGGAAAGTGGAAAATATTTTCCTAATTCCCTGAAAAATTTGGCGTATCAAACAGGGCCTAAAAAGGAAATTATTTTGATTTACGCACCTGTTTGGCACCTATTATTTTAGAATTGTAATTTTTTAAAGAATATATGGTTAAGAAAGAATGAAATATTTTTGAATTTATATGTAATATTATTTTATTATAAAATGTGTGGTTAATAGAGAGAGAGAGATGAATTATGATTTAATGAGAAATAATGAGGCCAAACGGGAGCGAAATTTTTTATCATCTTTTAAATCACCAACTTCATCAACTTTATCAAAATTTACAAAAAATATAATTTTTATCAAAATCAAACAGAGGCTTAATTTGGTTAGCTTCATGCTTGATTCATATGTTAATAAAAGATCATTAGAAAATAATCGGAATCATGTCTATAAAAACTCTTAAAATAAGAATTCGTGAAGAAATTATTAGATATAACTGCTTTTGACAAGAATGAAGGATAAAATTTTCAATACAAGTCCCTCATGAGTCAACTTCTACTTTTTAACCACACATTCTCCGAAAAATCACCATCCAAAACTCNCATACATTTTAACTACACATACTTAAAAAAAATCACTTTTGAAATCTCTATTTTCTCAAAATAATAGCCATCAAACAAGGACAAACAGAAATCCGTACATATCCAACTTTTGCAATGGACCTCAAAAAAGCTTTTATTTTCAAAAAATAATTCTATGCAAATGTGAATATTCAAGAAAAGCAAGAAATGTAATGCTCCTTCAAGTCATCAGAGTCTAAAATCATATTAGAAATAGTGGTGTCTCGTATTCTAGTTATATTTTCCATCGTGACCCTACTTGCCCAATTGTCCAATTCTTTCCATACAGAAAACACACACCAAAACAAAGTAGAAATGGAGAATTTAGAGAAATAAAAGAAAAGAACAAGATAAAGAAAGATCCCTTGCAGCCAGGTTGGATACATTTCTTATTGTGCCAAAGTTGATTCCACGATTTTAAGATTGAATTGTCCTACAAAATTTTTATTCGAACCAACTTCTGGCAAAGTTCTAAAATTAAACTCTCGAAGTAATTACAGGGACAAACACTAGAGCAGTCAACAATTCTCCCTACTTTTAAGCTTCGAGTACAACCTCAACTAGAAATGAAGTTACTTTCTTCTCTCAAAGATAGAACACAGGCATGGAATTAACAGAAATCAAAACTTTCTAGCTCAACTATTTTCAGCTGGAGAAATAGAGAAATTGTACACTAACATTCAGGTTAAAGTACACAATCTTTTCTTAATCAGAGCTCCTTTGAAGTAAAACATGCTTCAACCGTTTATAGTTATTCGATAAATTTTATTTTTCTAACTTGTTAGTACATGTCTTAATTTCGATTCTATCCTTCTAAATCATAAATCAACTCATAGTCATTCTAATAAAGTATCAATCTTTAATTCAATTATCAAAATAATTTTAAAGGGTTGAAGAGCTTACTACAGTTGGTGAAAGATTCATCAACCAGAGAAATATATTACTGTTAAAAAAACAAGCATTTAAATAAAGTAGAAGGAAAACTCCCACAAGCAGCTTGAAGTAATACAACAAACTATATTGTTTGAGATGAATAATAAATAATACAACATGCTCACCTGAAGGCAAACAAAAAATGAAGGCACTAACAACAAAATCCCGAAGAACAACACCAACTTCCCTTGCATGATACCCAGGATTATACTGTTTCAGCAAAAATGTACAGAGGCACATTGCAACAAACTATAATGCAGTAATAGACATACAGGATACCTGCAACTGCAAGCTAAGGGTTGTGACTGAAAAGACAGAATGTTGTGTTTATGAGAAGAAACCATATTGATATACTAAGAGATCCTCTCAGAGAACTGAGAGACACGAAAATGGAAGATGTCCAGATATTATACTTTTCTCTTAACTTGCAACTGGCTTAGAAATGGCCTTCTTGACAGCTTCAGCATATGTCCTGTGCTGGTATGTAAGAGTAGATTCAAGCAGATCCCAAAGTGATGTCTTCGGATTCCATCCTAACAACCAGATATACTATAAGAATATAGCCAAAACTCAAGTAATGTGTTCCAACTAAACAGATAATTACCAAGTTGTCTGTTAATTATGGTCATGTCTGGAATTCTCTTGTCACTGTCATCATATCCTTCACCGTAAAATTCTTTAGAGCTTATGTCAATGGTAGGTGTATCTAGTGGAGGCTCTGCACTAACCTTTGAGTAAACCTGCAAGCATGTAACCAGAAAGAAAGGTTGTGAATGTTATTAACAGGTGAACGGTAACAGTTCAAAGAATTAGTAATTGTATTACCTGCGTCATCATTTCGGCAAGCTGCCTTACTGTAACTTCATTGTTAGGGTTTCCAACATTGAATATGTGACCATTGGCCCGGTCAGGATTTTCCTGTTTAAAACCACACCACTCCACTTAGCTACTACCACAACGGATCAACATCAACCAGAAGTATGAGAGAATGAAATTAACATACAATCATCAAAAGAACAGCTTCAATGGCATCCTTGATATAAACAAAGGTTCTTTGTGATTGGCCACCATCCACAAGCTTGAGTGGTTCACGCCTTAGAAGATTCTGAACAGAGAGAAGAAAACAACATTAGGAAATAAGACTAGTCCAAATAATTGGGCATGGTATTCGATGTGCATGAGAAAAATAATATTACATTGCTAAAGCATGCTAGAACTCTTGGAACACCCTCACTAGGGCCATCAATTCCCGGTATGAAATCCATTCTGGGACCAATCCAGTTGAAGGGTCTCACAATTGTAAATTCAAGACCATTCTCAGCACTCTCAGCTGTAGAACAAGGTAAATGAAAAATATTTGATGCAAATTTCAATAAGAAGACATATTAACATAAAGATCAATAAATTTAAATCGCTCACCGTAGATCAACCTTTCAATCAACTGCTTTGCACATGCATAGGACCACCTCTGCTTTTCAATTGGGCCAAAAATGCAAGGGGAAGCATCTTCTTTAAGAACAAAGTAATCAGGATCCTGACGTGAGATGACAAATGATGATTCATAAGATTTTCACCAAGCAAAATATATCACACCAAGGAGAACAGAAATTTCAGAGATCTCCTTGGCAGATAACTGCAACAAAGAACTTTTAAGGCATTGAATAGTGCAGTAAAATGCTCCAGATAAAAAGCAAGCATCGTCAAAACACAAGCAAAGAAATTTACTATGAGACTCATGTACAATACTAATAAATTATGAAGGCTAAGAACTACATATGGTGTCTTTCTGCGTGCTGAGGAGAGATAACATAGAAGACTCTTAAGTGAAGAGTTAGTCCAAATGTTTCATGAATTCAATAGTTATATACACCGACTTATTTCTCAGGATTTGAACAGAAAATCTCTAATTACTCAAGAATATTGGGAATCTTGTAAAGCCATATTTCTAGATATGAATAACATTCTTAAATTGGATAATATTAAAAACAGAAAATCCATGTAAATCATATAACCCTATGTTCAAATAATATTTCAAATCCCAGTAAACAGATAATAAATTAATAACGCGAGAGCTACAGGCATTGCTGTGATGATTCAATCAAAACTGATCCTCCAAGGTCATGCATCCTCTAACATGGAAGTTAAGACATTTATAAGAAAACTAGTATGTTTTAACCATGACATGAACAGCCAATATCAACTAGAAATTTCCACTCGCACTTTATCTTGCAAACGGAATAAAAAAGTGTCTGATCGTATGCAACAAAGCATGCAATAATAGAGGCAATAATCAAGGAAACCTTCATTCTCTCTTACACTAGGAAAAGCAGTGCATCGCTCCATTTCTACCTAATGCTTTACTGCAGTGAAGCAGCACTGAAATAAGTTGCACATATCCCAAGGATTCTTCTTCTCTTTTAATTTAGGCCACACAGATTGTTATTCTTTTTATTTTTCCCTTCCAGACTGGAATTAACTCTCCTCTAAAACCAAATAAGCCCTCAGATACATGGATGGAGGCACCGATAAGCATCTACCAATTTAAAACTAAACTAAAAGCACCAAGACAGCATGATGTATGATCTTCCAATCAAGGAGTTTATTGCTGTAAATAATATTTCAAGCAGCAATTTCCCACGGTTTGATCTGCAAACCCTATTTGATAGTATCCATCAAGGAGTTATACGCACAAATAATATTTCAATCAGCAATTTCCCACTGTTGGATACGTAAACCCTATCTTTATGACCGTTATCAACGGATATGAAGGCATGACACAATTTATTTGAATAATGGAGTAAAATTGCCCACACAGGTCATGGTTCAACCATTTTTTCATTGAGTTTCCATAATAAGCAGATCAGTTAACCTTTTATTTTCATGAAGGGAAGAATTTGGGTTTACTGTTACATATTTCTGTTCTAAATATAATCAAAATGCCTGTGGACCCAAGGAGGCAACCTGATGCAGAATTTGAAAGAAAGAGGGAGAAAAGAAAAGAGAGAAGGGGGAGGAAAAAGAGAGAAGAACGTCGGAGGAAAAATTCAGTACATTTGTAAGTCGTAATCAATAATAATGTTGTTTCCAAATTGAAAATTATAGGTTCCCTTTTACAGAGTTAAGAATTTAAACGTAAGGAAACTTCTAAAATACCACTAATCTAACTATCAAAGTCCTAGCTAGAGCATGTTTGGGATCGATTATCTTAAAGATAAGCACCAATAATGTGGCTTATGTTGGCTTATTTTGAATGTAGGTCCACACATTTGGAGCTAAGATAAGCCACCCCAAACATACTCTTAGTCAAAACTACTCAAACCTAGTCTAAATCAACTTCTGTTTTTAATCTTGTTTATCGTAGAATAGACTTTTAGTTTTGGATCCTAAACTCTGTCACACGAAGCTCAAAATTTCGCCATAAAATGCGCTTTTCAGAACCTATTGACTAATACTTTTTGCATTGTCCAACAAAAATTAATACTACCTCCGTCCCATATATATAGGCTTGTTTTATTTTTCACACGGATTAAGAAATCTTATTTAATGTTATTGGAAAAGCAATTTTTATCAAGAACTTTTCAAATATATCCCTATTTAATTTTCGACAACTAGAAGTAAATTATTGTTGAAATTAGTAACTAAGCAAATTAAATAAGGGTATATTAGTAAAATAACAAAACATAACATTCCCAATTAAGAAACAAGCCTATATATTTGGGACAAGAAAAAAAGAAAACTCGGCCTATATATATGGGACGGAGGGAGTACTACTTTTGTCAATATTGTACAGTGGTGTAAACTTGAAAGATGACAAAACTCAGTTACAGGATGAAGATTGGTTTATGATATAACACAAAATAGTGATAGTCCCTACTAGAATCCCAAACTATTAATTGAAAGGAAGTTGAAGACAGCTAACACAAGTTGTTGGGCAATGGATTGGTCAAGGAAGTTTTTCTGATGGTATGCCTCTAGGAATTTCTGGTACTTTCAACTTCATGATTGTACAATGAAAACATGAATTTTACTTTTGTTTTAAACTTTATTGCAGAAAAATAAGTAGATAGGTTCAATCAAATCTGCCTGAATTATATGCATGTTTCAATGAAATCCTCACTCATTAAATATTTGCATGTTTTCTTTTAAATACTGTGAATGGCTGCTGGCCGAGTTATCATTTCAATTAAAGTCCCATTTTACTAGTATTTGAAAAATATCGGTATTGACATTTACGTGACAAAGAATTATTCTCATGCCAAGGGCAAAAGCGATTATACTCCATTGTTGGGAAAATCCTTGGTTCTGAAAAGGTCACAACTCCACAGAGCAGATGGACTCTTACCAGCCAAAGATTTTAATTCATGGGGACGAGAGGTTGAAAATTCACCAATAGCCAATCAAATTTGCTTTGAACATGTCGATGAAATTATATAACAAACAATCAGTGCAGAGACCACTAAGAGATCATTTATAATAGATCCTACTATATTTTGTGGTGAATCAATTTTCCAATCACAATGATCTCGATATAGAATATGGGAATAAAGATTTTTTATCGCTATTTAAATAATTTTTTTGAAGGAGAGGCATGAACTTTTAACTCCAGAAATGCGAAAGGCTTACCTGCCGTAATGGGCTATCTTTGGGTAAAAAGCAACCAATGGTTTTCCCATAAACTTCACAAGTGGAGAAGTGTATGAGACGTTTGCTGTTTTCAGAACAGTACTTGACCTAAATCCAGAAAAGCAATCACATTACAAACCAAATTCACTTCGGTCAACAAATTAATTGAATCTTTCAATTGACCAACAAATGTGGCACGAGGCACTTACCACAGGGAGAGCATCGATGAAGTTGCTGTAAATTGTGTCAAGGGGACGCGTGTTGTAATCAGCCGGAGTGCAAATTGCAGCAAGATTTATTGTCTACATTGCAAGAAAAAGTACACATTTCTATCCAAGTCAAATTCAGTGTATTATAATCAATCCATTTATAATATTTGAACAAATACAGTACTTACACAGCTGTAAATGAATATAAAAATTCACTGCGTAACATCTCAAGAAATCAATATACAGTGATAATAACACATAAATTCAGATGCGCGCAGATTTCAAAAATCCACCATAGATGCAGATAATCTTGAAATTTAGAATTAAATCCAGTAGAGAACATACTAAAACAGCAATCAAAGAAACTAAAATTAAGCATTTTCCTAGAATAGCGCAATACCACCCAAAAAAACTGAAAATCAAAATTTGCAAAGCAATCGCAATGTGAGCAAAGAATAAGTTCGGCAAAGAAAAAATCCTAAGATAATTAAATACGCCGATGAGTCAGATCCGACAACCGCAACACAAAGCCAAAATGCCACACGAATAAATCAAAGAAGAGGAGAAGAAATGACAAGGAATCAAAGAACGTTACGAGATCCGCCATCTTGATAAGGCCTTCGAGTCGTGGGTCGTTCCTGATGTTGAGTCGGTGGAACTGGATTCGATCGGCCCAAGGTGGTGAGCCCGAGCCCGAGGTCTCCAACAGGTGCTTGATCTTGTCACTGTACACATCCACCGCCAGCACTTTGTGTGGCGTCTCCGTCATGAGCTTCTCACAGAGGTGCGAGCCAATGAAACCCCCGGCGCCAATCATGCATATAGTAATCGGTTTAATTGGATTCCCGTCCAGATCTACTCTCCCGGTCGCCATTTTCCGATTTGATATTAATTTCTTGCTTCACCGCCTGTCTACTGAGAATTATATGTTGAATTGAATGTGAGAGCGTGTGCGTGTAATCGACTGAAGAACACGGGAAATGGAATGAATATATTTAAGCTGGAAAAAGGAGGGAGGCTAAGTTCTCTGAATCGGTGGCTCAGTTTGAGGCGTAGTATCTCACCCGCCAACATACAAAGTTGTGTACTACTCGCTCTAATTTAACGACACGTGGATTTGATGACACGATTTTCCCTGATTCATCATGTCTATTGAGATAGTAGTTCTTTGGATTAATATCTGATAACTTTTTAAATACGTTTTCATTTGTGATATGCTTTCTATTTATTGAAAATCACATAAAATAGTTATATTTGAAATTTTTTGTGCGAAAAATCTTCCTATCGTCAAATTTTTTGTTAAAAAACAGTAAAAATGTCAAAATTAAAAAGTGATAATTACAATTTTAATATCCAAACTTTTTATTATTTTACAAATTATACCCAAATTTTTTTATAAACCACCCATGATTTCCAATCTTTAAAACTTTATTTTTCACCCCTGACACCTTCGGCACTTTAATTGCCCATTCCAAGACAGACGCTGCCTCCTCAAACCTCCTAAACTGCAGTCAATCGCCACCACAACATTCAAACTCCATTAATCCTGGAAGCTTAAAAACGACCAAACTGGAAGCTGGCATGTGCTAGACGGAACCACCAAAAGCAACAGAAATGTGGCCAACCCACACTATACGAAGCTAAACACCAAACTAGCTGTATGCGAAAACAGCAGCTGGAAGAACACCAAAACAGAAGTTGAGCATAGAATCCCAAAATCAGAAATGAAAAACTGACTTGAGACCAAGCTGGATAAGCCCACCTGAACTGAACCCTGTGGGATGACAAACTGACCAAAAAACCCAATCTGAAGCCAGAATTGCAGACCAGAAGTGTCCCCAAAGCTGAAACTGTAGAATCGAACTTGCCAAGAACACTGATAGGTGTATTTTATACACTAATCCATATCGTTAAAATAGAGCAATTATTATTATTTTAAATGAATTGAGACTTAATTTTGTATATATTTTATTTGTTAAGTGCATCACGATGAAAAATAATGGACTTGAAGAAAATGAGCAGAAAATTGGCTAAAGTGGACCTAATCCAAAGTTTGGGGACTAAGTCGCAAAATGCTAATCAATGATTCGGACCTAGTATCGACGATTGGAGAGGTTGGAGTAATTAGATGGAGTTGGAGGATGAAGGATCAAGAAGATATGAAAAAGGGACCAAAATGACTAAAGAATAAAATTCGGTGACCAAAGTGCAACAAATAGAAAATTGTATAACAGCGTGCCCGCACAGCAAATTCTCTTGCGCGCGGACGGGCATGAACTTCATCTACCGAGAATAAAACCAATGAACGGCGCACGGGCACAAGCCATTTATGGGCATGAACGGCTCAATTTCCTTGCTTTATTCAAATTCTTATAAAAATTAAATTTAACATATTTCTTGGGGGAGAGAGCGGCGTGAACTATTGATACAACATATTATATCCTATTTTTCACCACAAGAGGAGGCTAGCACAAGATTCAAAGACAATTAACACAAGAGATTGAAGATTCAAAGTTCGGTTGAAGATTAACGAAGAAGAAATTGGTTTTTCACTTTCAATTCATTGTTTTTCATTCCGGGTGATTTTTTCCAAATCTTTTTGTGTAATTTACATAACAATATACTAGACTAATTATTTTCTTGTTTTGGATGAAGATGATACATATTATTATTTATTTTTAATTCAAGACAATATCTTTTTGTGTGATTTACATAACAATATGTTAGGCTAATTGTTTTCATGTATTGGATGAAGATGAAACATATTATTATTTATTTTTAATTCAAGACAAGTAGTTAGTTAATTTCTTATTTTTTTTATTAATCTAACATGCATAATTTGATTGTATGATGACCAATTAAATATATAGTTGCTTGTTGTAATGTTGAGAAGTTCACAATAGTCTAGAACATTGCTTGATTAACATGCGTGCAATAGATATTATGAATAATATTTACCACATGTGCAATTTTTGAGATAATATATACTTTAATGCGTTCTATTCATTCAAATTCGGACTAGAATAGATTTAATTTGTCTTCGAAAAGAAAATTAATTACAATAGATTTATCAATTGTCTTAATAATAGGTGGGTTTGTAATCAAATACATTCATTCTATATAAATACAAAACTCGAATTCTACAAGCTTTCGTAGAATAATTATCAACCACAATTCAATTTTGTTTGCTCACTTTGAATCTGAATAAAAACTAATACACTTGATTGAAATTTATTCCATGTGGGACGATAATTCTTAACTCATCACGTATTACTTGTCAACGATCCCGTACACTTACGAGTTTTGCACGAATGAACACCAATTTCTAAATCTTCAAAATTCACCAATAAACATACCAACAAACACACTAAATCTCAGTGCACTTCAGAAAATAAAGATTTAGACTTGAAAACACCTAAGAGACGATGAAGTCATAACTAGCATACAAGAAATCACAAAGCAAGTGGCAGCCAAATGGGATTTTTTCTCACAAGGCTTGAGAGCACCTCTCTCTAACACACTTGACTAACTGAGAATGGTGCCATGTATTAATCTTCTTAATTAAGTAATTAAACCCCATTAATCTCAATTAATCCTTCTCTAATCCCCTTTCTTGATTACCAATTCTCTCTGATAGACATCTGTAGTTCAGCTTTCATTTTCCCATTTTTTTACGAAAATACCGGGTTTTGGGGAAGTTAAAAGAGGCGACGTCTATTTTGGAATGGGGTAATTAAAGTACCGGAGGTGTCGAGGGGTGGAAAATACAGTTTTAAAAGTTTGAGATTATGGGTGGTACATTAAAAAAAACTTGGGTATAATTTGTAAAAAAATAAAAAGTTTGGTTACTAAAATTGTAATTACTACTTTTTAATTTTTGACGTTTTTACTGTTTTTAACGAAAATCTGACGGTGGGGGGTTTCTCACAAAAGGTTTCTAATATGAGGGATTTTTGTGATTTCCAATAGGTATGAGGTATATTGCAAATGGAAACGTTTTAGGGGGGGTTCTACTATTAACCCTAGTTTTTTTTATCTCGAAGAAGCATTAGTGATATCAGAATATCGATCTAGCAACCAGCAAATCCATACCAGTGCTCGACTAACAATTCTTAACCTGTGATCCCACCAACTAGCACACATAGAGTAATCTACATTTAAGATAACCAATTGGTAACACTAAATATTTTAATCATTTGACAACATTCATCATTATCTATTAGTCAGCAAGAATGTTAGAACCAAAACTCATCAACTATCTAGTTGAGGGACCTCACAAGAAACTCGAGGTGGCAAAAAAGTTCGTGGGCTCGGACGGCTCAGACTCGACTCAAAAAAAGCCCGCTCGAGAGTGCCCGACTCAGGCTCGATTGCACGAGCCAGGACCAGCCCGTGTCCAACTCATATAAAAAAATTTAAAATTTAAAGGCAGACAGCTACAATTTCTGCCTGCACGGCAGCTACAAATTGTAGCTACGTGCAGTCAACTATTTTAGCACGCAACTAAAAAATTAGACACAAATAATAAATTTGTACATACAATTGTCTTGCCAAAATTTGAACTTGTAAATTAAATATAGTTAAAATTGATATATTTTTTGTCTATAAATACAAAAAAAAAAAATTACAACTGCATATCAATCTATCTCAAATTTCTTTACGCAATATTCAGTATTATACTCTCCAATTTCTGAACTTTGATTTTCAATTTAGACATTTGGCCTTGTTATTCATTTTCTTTTACTCTATTTTTCAATATTCTTTACTATAATACTTACACATGGATTTTACTAGCGATGTGATTAATCAATTTAAAAGTAGTTCGAGTACTCCATCGGGGTACGATGAATCTCAAAATGTTCCAATTGATTTGGAAGATATCGAAGAGGAGGAAGTAATCGAGGTTAAAAGGTCAAAGAAAGAGTCTGCAGATTATTGGCAATATATGACTTGTAAAAATGTTGGGATTCAAAATGGAGTTAATATTTGGAAAGCATGTTGCAATTATGTGATAAAGAATTTAGTTGGAAGCCCAGTTCGAGCACATCGCATTTAGATGGATGCATATTAAGAAGTTGCAAAGCGAAACCAGTCAGTGTTGACCCGAAACAAACTGAACTAACATTTATCGGTTTCGTTTTACTCTTTCCACTTTTGTATATTCAAATGAAAGATTTCATGGAAGAATGGTTACATACATGGCTGCAGCAGAGATGTCGCTAATGATGATCGAGTCAGCACACTTTACTCGTCTTGTACATAATTATCTCCAACTCACGTATCATTATTATTGTAGAAATACTATTCGTTCGGATTCTATAAAATTATATAATAGAAGAAAACAAACTGCTATTGAAAGTGTAAAAATTTTTAATTCTGTTATACCATTTATCTCTGATTTATGGATTTGTGTTAATAAAAAAAGTTATATTGCTGCTACTGCTCGTTACATTGATCACCTATGGATTATGCATAAAATTATTATTACATTCAGATGTGTAGAATATCTTTATAATGCGACTAACATATACAATGTTTTAAAAGATATTATACAAGAATATGATATGCAATAAATGGTTCGAAATTTTATTTTTGATAATGCTAGTGTAAACAAAGTTGTTGTCGAAAATTTATTAATGATTTGAACCCTACATTTGGAGGTTTATTTTTTCATCAACGTTGTTTATGCCACATTATTCATTTGATTGTAAAAGATGGATTGGAAAATATAAAATCACTGTTAGATAAAATTAGGCAAGCAATTAATTTTATTACTATATCACCAGTAAAAAAGCAAGCATTTAACAGTTTATGTGCAGAATATAGCTTAGAAGAGAAATCATTTGTCACTGATGTATCATATAGATGGAACTCTACATATCTTATGTTACACTCGTATGAAAATTATGATAAAGTTATTTCAATATATTATAATGGTAGACATACATATGGACCCGAACATAATTTGGAAGATTGAGAATAGTCTCTTGCATTTGTCATGAAAAAATTCTTAAAACCTTTTCTCGATACCACAAACGAATGTAGCGGTGTTTATTACCCTACATTTTTCACCTTTTTACTTTTCACCTTTGTACAACACTTTTCTATTTTATACAAGCATTTCAAAAATATAGGAATTTGTCAATTTTTGTTGATGTAATTTATTCTATGGAGTCAAAATTTGGTAAATATTGGGAAGATATACCCTTTTTATTTTTATTAGCTTCGGTGATGGACCCTCGACTTAATTTAACTGGCACAAAAGCTACTATAAAGGAAATTTCAAATTTTATGAATGTAGAGTTACATGTGCATATAGAATCAATGTTATGTGAAATGTATATCTATTACGCTAAAAAAGATGGTCAGTGTAGTTCTACTTCCCAAAATTCTTTTTCAAGAAATATTTCAACAAATGCAGATAATATATGGAGTTATTTAGAGACCAATACTAGTGTTCCCTCATTTAGTTCTAGTTCGTCAATATTTAGAGCAATATATGTCGGTGGTATAAATCTTGAAATTCTCTCTGAGTTAACTAGGTATATGTGCATGGACGTTCGTAGTATGTTATAAACACAAGAATTACAGAAATTTAGTCTTTTATTATGGTGGAGGTATAACGAAAGACAGTATCTAATTGTATCAAAAATTACTCGAGATCTACTAACACCGTCGATGTCTACGATAGCATCGGATATTGCATTTAATTTAGGTGGTCGAGTTTTATATGATGAACGATAAAGATTAAAAGAAGATCACGTGCCCGGTGCCCCCCAACTTTGCATTGTTTTTTTTTTTATATTTTGTTTCAATTTTCGAAATTATTATAAAATGTGAAACGAAATCGAAATATTGCATTCTTAATATCATTTCGAAGTGCTCACAGTCTAGTTTTTTATGTCGTTAACGGCGTGTGAAACGACCAATCTTAGCAAATGTTACGACTTGTCAAAGTAGATGGTTTAAAATTAGTATTTCGAGAATTTCGATAACGTGCTAACTTTAAAAATTCTTCGACGATCGTACGGTAGTCGAATCTACAAATCGCTTATATCATCTCAAAGTTCGTTTCGAGAACTATATTATAGGCATATTGAATAGTTCAAACAGATATCGAAAATAGTTAAAGATGCGTCAAACGTACATCTTAAAAAAAGGCGTCTAACTCGCAATTTTTTTAAAAAATTTAATTATTTCATTAACATTTATGTTTTTGTAATACAAATTTCTCAATGTAATTTGCATTATTTTATTAGAAAATTTATATAGGATATGACATCAAAACATTTCGAAATTTTATATTCGGAAAAGTCATATTCCATGTAAATTTTCGAATGCAAAATTACAAAGGATATGATTTTTTTGGATGTAAATTTTCGATTGTAAAATTTCTCTCAATTTCTTTGCAAGTTCTATTGTGCCACCCAACTTTAATTGTCTGCGTCCGCCCCTGATCACATTATCTCAATTAAACTAATTTTTCATGTGAACCATAATTTTTTTTCTATTTTTAACTAAAAATTCTTCAAAAATCATTTTCTCATAATATATTCTTAAAAAACTTATGTCAAATATGCTCTAAATTTTGTTGTAGGTTGCTTTCGGCACTTGTGATTTCTTATGGTTTTCTATATGTATGACGTTGCTCAAACTATCCGCGTCATGTGAGTGGGGCTATGAGCTGTCATGTATTTCGTTTTCACATTTTTTGTGATAATTTTAAGTGCATCATACTGCTCACCTTCCCAAATGCAGTTCTTGTGGGGAATATGAATGCAAAAATTGCAGTACAAGTTCTTTTTCTATTAGTATTATTGTAAGTTGATATTCAACTTTTATTTTGACTCTAAATTTTTCAATCTTAAAGTTCATAATGCCTGTGCTCCCAATGAGTGTTTTTTCTTTATATTGCTATTGAACCATGAATCTCATTCTCTAGTTGCTTTGATGTGCCTCATTGTTGACAACGTCTTCTCCTCCTCCCTTTAGATTTCAGTTATGTTGCACGTACATAATGATTTATATAACAGTTTGTATATACATAATGTTGTGAGATATGATTGGAATATAATTTCTTCATCCAAATAAAAAAAAACTTTCACATTCTCTTAATTTTGACACATCATCTGATCGTAAGCTACTATAAAACTCCTTTACGTACAAGTGGCATTATTTTTTTGATTTAATGGAATTTATAGTATTGATTTTTCAATTTTAATTAAGAATTAAGATATAATTGTCTTTTGGGAACTTTGTAGATGGGATCCCCCATTCTTTAGGTGATACACACTCAGGTCCCATTATTAGCTGTTGCCTGTTAGTGACAGCTAATAAAGAGTTAACTGCATGCCAGCATAAATGACGTGCTGAATTGACTAAGCTCGTTTGATGTTCATAATCTGGAAAAAAAATAATAATAAGGTTTTGAATGATGAATTTTTAAAGAATATGTGGTTAAAATGTAGAGAAAAAATTTAAATTTACGTGTGAAATATTTTATTATGTAAATGTATAATTGAAAATAAATACGTAGAATAAAGAATTTCGAAGTATTAGTTGCAGCTAATTCCAAATGACACCAACCAACCATAGAAATGGAACAAAAAGGAATTGCGCACATTGAGTGAGAGAGGAGCATAGAAATAAATTGGGGGGTTAAAGTTAACGGCGTGGTTCACGCGCCAATCTTATCACCTAATTTTTATTTTTTTAGTGCAGACGAAAATTATGGTCGCAGTCCTCAATCTTTACTAGGTAGACCATTTTGGTCCTCTACTTCTCAAACAGAGCATGTAGATATTTAATTTTCCATCTTTGTAAATGGGTCACTAGTAATCCGTCTGGTCAGCTGTCCCATCATACATTTAAGTTTGTCTGCAATATATATCCTCTTACCACGATATGAGAAAAATAATAATTAAGCTGTTAAGCAATTTCATCAATTTTATAAGAATACAAGAAATCAAGAATGAAGTAGTACATGAAAGTTTGTTAAGTTCGCAAATATACTTTGAACTTAGCTGCTAAGTCACCCGAGAGTGAATTTGGTTGTTTTTGTGAAAATTGCAGGGGCGGATTTAGTGGGGGGCAGTGGGGTCAGATGCCCCACACGAAATATAGAATTTCAGTTTCTAGTGTTTCTAAACATTCAAGTAATTTTCAATTTTTGCCTCTACAATTAATTTTTTTTCTGTAATTTGCCCCCAACAAATGTTTTCTTCTAGTAATCAAGAATATCAGTAAACTTCATTAATTAATTAGTGGGTCTCATACTAATGTGAGAGATTGTAAAAATCATTGTACAAATAGATTTTTCCGACTTCATTTCTCATAGGAGTTATCTAGTAGTCCTCCAGTCATTTAAATTGCTATAAGCATCATTAAACAATGTAAGCTTGCTTGGTTCATTCTTACCAACTATTTTTAGTCAAAACTTAATGATCCTTCCATTATTGATTTACTGAGGTCTTTTTCTCTTACCAGCTCTCGGAGGCTTGTGGTAAGCAGAGTGGAACTTCTTCGGGTTGGGACGTTTTATAGTGCAGTTGGTGCTCTAGTTGCAGGTAACGAGCTCACTAAATAAACTAAAATGAACATTACTCGAATGATTAGCAGCTTTCTTTTGGTGACTTTTCATGTACATGTATTAGTTTGTATACATGACATGTCTGCAACGCTTTATTATGAGAGCAATTCATACAGAGATAATATTTTTCATTCATTTGAATGAAAATCGTGTTCTTTATTCAAGTTAGTTAAATCAATTGCAATGTTGTTACAGGGTTCTGTAAACCTTTCCCCTTGCAGAACTTCAAATTGTGCGGGATTTTAACTTGAAAGCATCAAAATAATGTCGTCGTACCTGTCACTGTGCTAAGGATTTGGCATATCAACATCAAGTTTCTCAAATAAACCGTTAATAATGTTCTGTTACAAAGCACTTGAACAACTGGAGGTTCAACAAATCGTAACAGGCAAATTCTGAAACCTATGCCCCAAGAACAGAAAATAAACATTGTACAGAGAAATACATCAATGCATTCTATTGAGAACAAAAGGTGACATACATTCTTCCAGTCCTCCATTCTCCTAAGCAGTTTAATAAAGAATTGGAAAGAAGCAATTCCTTGAACGTAAAAGGGGGAATAGAAATAAGTGAGAATGACGGAATTTTTTTGAAGAGGAAAAGGGTCGAACACATTTGAAGACAACACAAGATTGACTATGACTGTTTTGGAGGGTTTGCTGTAGGCAGAGAATCTTTAATTGGTTTTGGTGCTCCATCAATAGCAATGTTTCCTACTCCAACCTCCACAGCCTCCCTTTCACCCTTTTCCTTCTTATCTGCACAACCGTTTTCCATTGCATGGAGTTGAGAGATAGAAGGGGTGAGTTTCTTAGGACCTGCACAGATCCATGGATGATTAAGACATTGTGCTGCTGTTGGCCTTTTCTCTGGCACAAAATCGAGTATTTGCACCAGGAAATCCGCCATGTCATTCGCATCTTGCTCACAAAACTCATATTTCTCCCTGAGCACCTTATTCAGAGGCCAAAATTTTAATCGTCGTATATGTCTCAAATCTCCATATCTATTAAATAATTCTCGGGAATAGCGCCCACCTAAGGCAACCTGCAAAATGTTTGTGAAGCACGGGAAATTGGTGACTTTATATGGAGAAAGAATAAAAGGTATGAAAGCTTCACAAGATTGATCTTGCCCACAGATTTCAAGGTGGGAAACGAATCATTCTAATTTGCTTCCTAACAAGGGGTGTAGAAATGTTCTCACCTTCCGCGGCATCATCCCAAGAAGCTCCATCATCAGGGCCAAATGATCCTTTAAAGGAAAAGCACCAATAATAAATACCAATCAACATTAACAGAAACCAATATATGTTACTTTTAAGTGTTTTAGCTCAATGCTATATAAATTTGATCCACAGGTTGATACAGACGAGGCATTATGAAAATAGCCACTGGGAAGGAAAAGAAAGTAAAAACACGAGCATGATCAGAATATTTTCAGTAACTGAACAAGAAGCCATTACTAAACCCATCAAAAACAAGCTAAAGGAAAATCAAGCAGATGCAAGCTTAATATCAAATAACAAATACAAGAAGATAGAACCCGTAAAGGATATTTCATCTCCATGAAAGCTCAAAACGTTAGCACATCAATCTATAAAATTTGACTTCAAAATTGATGAGATGCACGGATAGAACCACAAAGAAACACGTAACTCGAAGACATGAGACTGCAAAGGAAGAGAAAAAGGAGCAAACAAAAGAAGGTAACATAAATATGCAACTACCACATCTGTATACATCACGACGCATAGGGTTGTTAATAGGCCGAGCAGCTGGATCATTCTAGCATTGGGGTGAGCCAAGAACCAGCCAGCTCGTTTAAAAAAAAGTTGTCTCAGCTAGACCCACCAGCTTGCCCGCATGGGCGTTAGCCTCCATTTTTTTTTTTTTTTTACATTCAAAAATTTTTCCCTAAGTTTCCTGGTTCGCAATGAAGTTGAAAATCTATAAACTGTTAACTTGAAAAAATTAATTTTGTTAATGGGTTTAACAAAAGAAATTTAAAGTTATCCTCCATCTTTTATCAGGGCTTGGGACCAAAAAAATGATTTGAAAACCTCCATATTTATAGATGAAAATGTTAAAAATTAAAAATAGAAAATTGCACATTTGAATTTCAAAATTTGAATAGAGGCATCCCAACCAGTGGGCTGCCTGATTTCGACATGATGGCACCTGCCAGGTACCATTATGCATGACTGCAAAAAGCAGCCATAATTGAGCTGCCAGCCAATGTGAGCCGACAGAAAATCCTGGCTCAGCTCGCCTCGCCTCGCCTTCATGGAAAGCCGGTGAGGGCTCACCCCATTTCACATCCTAACCACACATAATAATTTGAACGTGTGTAAAATTTGCGACGCAGTAACCTAGCAGATCATAATATATTGGATGACTCAAATATCAGTGAAAAAATGGTCATCATTGTCTCGTTGTCTGAATCACTTTCCAGAGACAGTACATTATACACTCGTAGTGAGAAAGTTTTGGTGAAAGGAAAAACAAAAAACAAAAGAGCAAAACTAAATCTCAAATAGAGAGTATCAAAAGTGTCATATAGCAGGGTAAAAGCATTATATGTGAAAATAAACGATCTATACTGATAGAGAAGATAAAATTAAACAAAAAGTAGCCATGGAAGCAAGTACAATGTCAAGAGCAGGGTGCCTTACAAAAAGCATTATATGTGAAAATAAATGATCTATACTGATAGAGAAGATAAAAATAAACAAAAAGTAGCCATGGAAACAAGTATAATGTCAAGAGCAGGGTGCCTTACAAAAAGCATTATATGTGAAAATAAACGATCTATACTGATAGAGAAGATAAAATTAAACAAAAAGTAGCCATGGAAGCAAGTACAATGTCAAGAGCAGGGTGCCTTAAAAAAAGCAAACAGCATTTCATTATACGCACTACGAACACATACATATCAAACACAAAAGTATTGTTTATACAAGTAGAAAATAGCAGTTAAACTATGCCCTACCGAGTAGCTCAGGGAATAGTTGTTAGCTTATTTATATCTGCAATAGATCACATACCTCATCTCTTTCATAGTTCTCACCACTGTGAGGATCAAAAAGAACATCACCGGTGACCAGCTCGAAGCAAATGCAAGCGAATGACCACATATCAGCTGATGTTGAGTACTTAGATCCTAGGATAACCTCTGGACATCTATACTGTCTTGTCTGAACATCACTTGTGAATTGTTTATACGTCCAACAAGCATTTCCAAAATCTACCAATTTGCAATTTAGGTCAATCTCAGCCAATAGCTTCTGCCTTGTAGAATGGCTACCTCTCCTATTAAGCTTAGTTCCTTCGCGTGCATCCTTCACTCCATTCATATTGGTCTGCTCTTCAATGGACTTACAATTGGATTTATCATCATTGTGAGAATCTTCAGGACTACTAGCCTCATAATCTGGCTCAGCATCCTCAGAAGCTTCCTTCCCCACACACTTTTGGGCTGCTTGCTTAGCCTTTTTTCGGATTTTCTTTTTCTGGTTCTTGGTCAGGTCACCATTTGAGCTCTGTGCATCTTTAGAAGTCCCAGAATCAGACAGGATCTCGTTTTTACTGAATGGTAAGACAAGAGGGGCACCTGACTTTGTTGGATCTTTAGCTGGATCAATAGTCGAAAGAAGTAATATGTTCTCTGGTTTCAAGTCCGTGTGTATGATTGATAGATGCCGGTGCAAATAATCCAATCCCACTAAAATATGGAAGCAAATTTCTTTAACCATATGAAGAGGAATTCCTTTGTAGTCCGAATATTTAATTAGGGTCAAAAGATTGTCACCCAAGTATTCAAAAACCATACAAACATGCTGCCCGTTTGGCCCTGAATGCTTAAAGTGATCCAAAAGCTTTACAACACATTTCTTATCTTCAGGGTCTCCCTCGGCAATCTGTTTTAATATAGTGATCTCATCCATTGCTGCTTCAGCGTAATGTTGCGCACTCTTTTGAACTTTAAGAGCCACGTACCGCTATCATCAAATATGTAACCAAATAAGAAAACAATAATATATTCCCAGCTAATTGATAATAAGCAGGTTGTCAACCTAAATTCAATTAATAATGTGCATTTCACTCTCACTCTATGTGAGTGCGCGCGCACGTGATAGGGAGAGAAGTTGGTCGTCGTGCGCAGTTGTGCATTTGCTCCATTCGTTTTCCCACACACATTGGTGACATCGTCATCTTTTCACTTGCTTGAATCCAATAACGTCTTTTTCTTTCACTAAAACCACATTACAGAATTACAACATCTATAGAATTTACGATCTTATTTGACATCCACCAAAGTGCAGAGTAACAACATACATTTTCATTCTTTATATACAACCACATTATCAAACTAATCCTTGCTCTCAATAATTCGGAACTAGCTGCCTGAATCTTTTTTTGTCGCTCTTCGCAACATTCTACTGGAACGTCTATACGTCCATCATATGAGTCTTTAGTAAAATAATATGATCGTGTTCATACACAGATCACAGTGGTGACTTTCAAAGATAGAGACACAGAACAACTTGCAGTCATAGCTAGAAGCTACTTAAGTAGATAACAGGGGTAAATTGAGTTTACCTCCTCGGGCTCTAAACATTTTTATCTCAAAAATACAGACACAAATTCTGCCATAAGAATCAACTTCTACTCTTGATAACTGTATTTTTCTATTTCTCCGGCTAAAATATATCATCACAAAATACCTTATAATCATTAGAAATACAGCTATAAAAAGTAACAGAAAATGGATATGATACAATTCAATGGAGACAATTTTTACATGTATTTGAAAAAATATATGTAATGAAAAAGAAGAAAAATAAATCGGTGAAACGTACCGAATTGTGTGTATCCCAAGCGAGCCAAACGGTGGAGAAATGACCCCAGCCAAGCTTACTTTGAACTACATATCGGCCGTGCCTGAATGTGTCACCGATTCGCACAGCGTGGTATCCCCCGCGCCTGTAGTCCTCCGTCCCCTCGTCTTCCGAAGTGTAATCACTGGTCTCACTCTGATCATCGCCGTTCCTCTCTACCACCGCCGCCTCTTCCGCCATCGATCGATATTGTCAATACGCAAGATTTAAACCACCCAAAAATGGATATTAAGAAAATTTCAAAATGCGATCCGTGCGCGGGAGCGCGATTGCAGAAATGAAACCCTGGTTGTAGTTCAGAGTGGGAGATTAGGGTTTTGAATTTATTTTAATTCGAGTGGAGAAGACGATGAATAATTATTTTATTTTATTTTTAATTTAGTGGGGACCTTGTGTTCACTTAGTGGGGGTGGGGCCCGTGGTTTTGAGAACTATAATTAGCAATTTAGCCCCTGTTTGGTAGACATTAAGAGCTTGTTTGGGAAGAATTTTTTAGGAAAGAATTAATTTTTAAATAGTGATATGATGGGAAATGTGTGGTCGAAAAAAAAGAAAAAATTATTGATGTGATGGAAAATATTATTTTATTGAAGAATGTGTGGTTGAAAATGAGAATTGATTTACTGTAGAATTTAAGAATCTCTCCCAAACACCCCCTAAAATTTTCATTTTCATTTTTCTACTCATTTTCAACCACACATGACACATTCTTCAATAAAATAATATTTTTCATCGCATCAATAACTTTTCATTTTTTTTCAACCACAAATTCTCTATCAATCTACTATTTCAAAATACATTCTTCCAAAATAATGTGGATCAAACACACCATTAGCTCCGCACTTTTTGTTATTAATACTCCACTTATTTTGTTGTCAGAGAAAGATAAAATAAATTGTCGATTAAGTTAATGGTGTGTTTGATGTATATTATTAAGGAAAAAATGTATTTTAAATACTGATATGATGGGAAAAATATGATTAAAAAGTAAAGAAATTTTTTTTCATCTTCTCACGATTTATGTAATACATTATTAGCTTTATCAGTGGTAATCGAAACATATAACAGAATAATCAAGGCTTTCTAATGAAGTAATACTCGTCCATCAATCAAGTAATTTTACATATAATGTGAAAATCTCATAATGAAATAATTCACCATTATCTCACAAAGTAAGATTTGTCCAAAGTACAAATGAACGATAATAAAAAGGTCGATTTCTTTTGACATACAAAAACAATCAACCCGTATAACATATAAAAGAAACAAGTCAAATTCATATTGTTAGGGATGAGAAACATGATTTGACATACAAAAACAATCAACCCGTATAATATACAAACTCGCCACATAACAAAATCAAAATGAGAAATAACCACTACCCACACTAAGGTTATAGTTAGGGATGGACATGATTTCATTTGGTCCTGATTCCAAGAGAAGCGAACCGAATCACGAGCCAATAATTTTTTTGATAATGAAACCAAATGATTTTTTTAAGATGTGGAACCAAACCGTAATTGAACTATTCAATTTGGGTGGTTCTAGTTTCATTACAGATCGAGAAGAAAAAAGAAAAATAGCATTTGAAGAAGAAGAATCAAAAGTTGAGGCTTCAATTTCATAAATATATACGACGATGGTAGCTGAGCACTAGACGATAGGTGGTAGTTGTTGATCTCCATTTGAGAGTCTGTGTATAAATTGGAGAAGAGAGAAAATGAAAAACGAAAGTAGGGTCCGTGTCTCCAAAATGAATTTGGGTCTCAAATCTCCACATTGAGAAATAAGAAGTTGAATGTACATGACCTCTTTGTCTTGATTTTCAATTGAATTTTGATTTTTTTTAGTATGAATTATGATTCACTAATTTGTAAATATATATAAAATAATAAAATTTAAATATTGAGTTTGATTCTTGATTTTAGAACTAAACTAAATCAAACCAGAATCAAAACCAAATAGTTATCGGTTCTAAGAACCCGAACCATTAATTTTTTGTGTAGAATCGAATTGAATCGCTCGATTTGGTTTGGTTCTAGTTTGGTATGATCTGGTTTGATAATTTTGGTAACCCCTAGTTAAACCGAATGATATTCCTAAATCCTAAGTTTAAAAAATAATAATAAATCTTGTAGATAAATAAATATGATTTGGAATAAATACCATTTCTTTATTTAAAGTTGAAGTCGTCTCTGAATCCCTTAACATCAAAGTAAATAATTTTTACTTATAAATAAAAAGAAAGAAGTATATCCAAACACGATTGCTAAATTCGATCAGATTAATCTCTCTCATTCTCTGCGATTATCCCCTGGTAATTGATGAGTTGCACTGTTGCAGGTAATTACAATCAATATTAAGTGTTTGACCTAGCTAGTTTCTAGGGATGATTTAGAAGTCAATGAATTGAGAGCTACATAACTTCAATAAATTAACAGAGAGTGGTTCATTCTGAATCGCTTAACCTAACATAATAGTTGTTTTTTTATGTTGCATCAACCACCAAATTTAACAACATAAATTGTTTGTGTAAGGCCTATATTTGCGGCTTGCTTGCTAGCAATATTTATTATATAATACTCTCTCAGAGAATCAAAGATCATCATCGGTGCCAGAACAGACCAAAACTTCAAATAATAAATAAAGAAACAACTAGTTTTAAGGTGCATTATCTCTTTTAAATTTGCGTTAGTTTGTCAACTCCCTTATGGATTAAAATATAATAACATAAACATATTCGATTCCGTTCATATTGACCTTCTATAAATATCAAATATCTCATCATCAACAAATTGTCAGAAAAAAAAACAATGGCATCCCAATTTCCACTTCAAAATTTCACAGATTTTGGGTTAATCGATTTCTTGGATGAAGCCAATTTTGATCAATTTATTGAACTTGTAAGGGGTGAAAATGAAGACCCTATTGTTAATTTCAGCCAAAACTATGATTATGATCTACACATTGCTGGCTGTTTGGCTGAGAATCAATTCGTACCAGCCCCGGTGGAGTTGTTCGATTTTGACATTGCTACTAACCCTAATTTGGATTGTGTGGTTGATTCGTTCCCCCAGGACACGAAGGCAGTGGAAGAAGAAAATGACGAGGAGGAATCATCCGCAACCACCACCAAGTCAACCAAGAGGAACAAAAAAATTGATAGATCGAGAACTTTGATTTCAGAACGAAGAAGGAGAGGTCGAATGAAGGAAAAGCTCTATGCATTGCGTTCCTTGGTTCCTAACATCACCAATGTGTGTTCTAAGCTCTTTCTCTCTCTCTCTCTCCCCCCTTGGATTATATACCAAAAAAATTGCTTTCCTTTGTGTACATATGTATGATTGATTTGATCTCATTATACTTAACTAATCCCATCTTGGCTCTAGAAGTAACTTTAAAAGTCAACTTATACAAGAATAATAAGCCATAATTAATTACTTATCGTACTCTTAATCCTTCATAAGTACGTGCGCTATTAGGTATGATATGATCAAGCAATGAATTTTCAACATCTAATGATCTTTGGATAGATATTAACTGTAAATTGTATGCTTTCTTAGATTTAGCCTATGCTTGGATAGTATTTATAAATCAATTTATAAATTTAGTCAAGGTCAAATTTTAATTCCAGTCACACGCTCATGACTACTTCTCATTCAAATTTATAAACCATTTGTAAATTTGCCAAACGGAGGTTTAGTGAAGCGTAAACTTTTTGTGATGATGCTCCGTCGGTGTATGTAGATGGATAAAGCTTCAATAGTTGGAGATGCCGTAGTGTATTTGCAAGAGTTGCAAATGCAAGCCAAGAAGCTAAAAGCTGAGGTAGCAAGTCTCGAATCATCCATGACACGAGGGGATAAATGTCGAGGGATAAACATTCAAACTATCAACAAGATGAACGCTACAAATTTCTATCCGATAATCAAGAAGATATTGAAGGTATTACGCTTTATGCGCTTAATAATTAATGCCTTCGGACAAAGGGGAATAAAATAAATATTTGCAGATGGATGTAATTCAAGTTGAGGAAAGAGGGTTTTATGTGAGATTAGACTGCAACAAAGGTCAAGGTGTTGCAGTGTCCCTCTTCAAGGCCCTTGAATCCCTTATAAGCTTCAATGTTCAAAGCTCCAATATAGCTACGTCTGCTGATAATTTTGTCATGACATTCACTTTGCATGTAAGCATTCTATTAACTAGACAAACTTTACAACTTAGTTATATATTGAAACTGGTAATGAATGAATGAATGTCAAACAGGTAAGAGACAGCGAGGTGGACATGAACTTGCCAAATTTGAAGCTGTGGATTGCTAGTGCTTTTCTTAATCAGGGATTTGATTTTGGAACTTCACTCTCTGCCGTGCTGCCGAACATCACCTTGTTATCATAAACTATATGGGGTTTTTCTTGAATATTGAAAATGATAAATATACTTCTTGATGTCTTACTTGTATTTTCCGTCACTTATCTTTTCATTTTGTGTTTGGGCTACACGATCCTCGTGTACCTAAAGAGAATCCATGTATATTTTATTTTTCATATATGGGTATGTGTAACAAAATAATTCTTAGCTAGAAAAAGAACAAGTCCGTCGACAGACACTAATCCTAGCGCTTCCAAGATGTCGTTGGCAGCAAAAGAATTTCCTAAAATGTAGTTTTAGTTTTATTTATAGATGTCTAAGGTAAATAGCTTCAACAATTGCCTTTATCTCGTATACAATGATATTCGTGCACTCTAATGTTACTACATTTTAGTTATTTGATATGCACCGTCCTTGTACAAATCATTGCAAGACAAAGTAGAAATGGGTGCAAAGAAAAGGTGTGGGCTTATGCCTCGTTTTGATATCACTCCCAATGCGATTGCTACTTTCAGTTCACAGCAATATCGAGAACTGCCATCTAGTCCCTATAACTATTTTGTTACCTGTCACGACGTGCCGTAGCTAACAAAGGAAAAAATTAAAAAAAAAAAAAGAAAGACCTTTGCATATCTAGTTGCTAGATAGATTTCTTAGCCTAATGGGTTAAACAATAGAGGAAATTACATGGTTCTAGGCCTTTCAAGTTCACAATGCAAATATCAGGTGGAAAAATTTTTTAATCAAAAATCAGGTTTTTTATTTAATCAAAAAATTAGGTTTATTTTTCACTACCTACTCCATCCCCTCTCTCTCTATCTCGCCTCCCCTCCCCTCCCCTCCCGTTTCTTTGTGAATGGACTGTGTGCTGCTGTGATGGAAGGAGATCGAAGCGACGCGGCGGAGCTCGAACTGCTGTGATGGAATGGACTGCAGCAGCTGGGCTTTGCATAGCGGCGGAGCTCGAACTGCCGCGATGCCGCTGCAAAGACGTTACTGCAGCAGAGACAACAGCGGCGTCGCGAGGCTGCTGCAGTTCGCGGCAGCCTCGCAACGCCGCCGTTCAATGCCGCTGCATCCGACGTTTTGTGGTTTATTTCTTCGCACAGATCTGTGGAGTTGTGTGTGATTTGTGATGGTCGATTTGGTGTGGTTCGCTGGTTGAGTAGGGGGGTAGTGTGTGCAGTCGGGGGGGGATTTTAACCTTCCGGCGAGGCACTGTGATTGTCGATTTGGTGTGGTGCATTACTGGAATTTCTAGCTCCCTCTTTGCAGAGGTGCAATGATAACACGTATGGGGGGTTATATGAAATTGGTCTTGAAACTCAATCGTCAGTAGCCTTGCAGGTGATGAAATCTCCAAACAAAGTCTTTCACAACGCTGTAGCTACATTATCCTTCAACAGAATCAACATCTTCAATTGTTGGAAGCCTTTGAGGCAGACAATACCTTGATTTCTTCATTTTGGGCATTGCATGATGTCCTTCAACTATATCAAGAATCTGGGAAGTACATGTGATGGGGATAAAAATGTTGTTTTTTCGCATTGCTGTTGCAGTCAACTTGTGTGAACCATTTCCCTCCTTTATTTGCTGCTACCCCCACCAAATTCAAACAAAATAGCAACAACAAAAATTCATACAAAAAATCAACATATGAATCCATTGCCTATCAAAAGTCCGAATCATCGGAACATTCTCGGACCAAATTCTCCGAGACACAACCCATGCAATATGGGATACACAAGAANTTAGCAGTAAAAATCTTGAGGAGATTTGTACAAAAATAAATGATGGAGAAAATCAAGGAATCATTGAAGATCAAGATAAATCATTGAAGATCAAGATGATTGATGATTTATGTAAAGATAAATAACAATTCCTAAAATTAAGCACATCATCATAATCATCAATCATCTTGATCTTCAATGATATATCTTGATCTTCAATGATTCCTTGATTTTCTCCATCATTTATTTTTGTGCAAATCTCCTCAAGATTTTTACTGCTAATAATCTACCACCACAGTCGTAGGTTACATATCCCCAACCCCGACGGTGGTGATGAAATAGGCTGGGGGTGGCATTGATGGTGGAAATAAATACTCTTGTGGTGATATTTTACGATGGCGAAGGCGTTTGGGAAGGTGGGTGCTTGTGTTTTTTGTGGTTTAAGGACTGGTGGTTAATGGTGGTGGTTTGCATTGGTGATAGTGGTTTGTGGGTTGATGTAGGTAGCGATAGTTTGGTGGTGGCTAACATTCGATGAAACATGAGTAACATTTTGTAATAGGCTATATTATAAGTGTGGTGACGGTAAAAACAAACGAGAGTTGTGTATTACGTAAACGTTACGGCATGATTTGAAATGTGAAATCATCCATTTTGAAGATCTAATCTTACGTAATTGAACTTTCTAATATCTTAATCTACCACCTACCATAACTATTAATCAAAATGAATTAATCAAGCTTTGACAAACTAGAACAATGGTGAAGTCTTAAGCCCAATTTGAAAGGTTATTGGCTAAAATTAGTTGTTTGGCGTCCAGTATGAAGGACAGCATCTGCATAGAAAACAAAAGTTTTTCTATTTGAATAAGAGATCCTCTCTTCCTCGAGAAAGAATAATCATGGAAATGTAAAAAAATAAAATTGAAATTGTAATCTAATTTATTCCAAACAATTTCTCACTGTAAACGCAGATTTTCTTACAAATCGACAATTTCTTATTTCTTTACTTTTCTTTTCCAGCTTGACTGTTGCCTTTCCCTCTGGCACTATCTATCTTCAGCCACTTCCAATTTGAAAGTATATTTTGAAACCTCAATTCAGTATGTATATACTGATTCATCGATGTTTTACTTAGTTCTCTCTAAATTGATGCAGCTGGAGACCTTGTGATGCTGTTCACCATGTCGAGTGCCACACACGGCTGATCAACGGGTACCTGGAAAATCACATAAAATTTAATCAAAAAGTTTAAATTTTCACCCAAAATTTACTTTCTTGCAAATGGATAGAAGTGAGAATTCATTGATAGACGGTTTTTTCTTTATGAGAATGGGTGGTCTTGTAACATTTAGTTCCGTGCAAATATACAACCAAAATGATATTGATCGAATACAACAATTTAGAAAATTTTATGATACATTTTCTTCGTAAATTCAATCTATCCAAACTATCAAACATATCAACGTGCGTTCAAATGTGTACTACCAGTTATTAGTCGGTAACTTTTCATCAATCTTCAAGTCTTTTATCCCATGTTTGGTAGGCTAGACTGAGTTAAATTTGCTAAAATCAAAATTTTATCCATTATAGTGTCTAATCATATTCAAGAATCATGGGTTTCACTGGCCCATTCGACAAACTTAGGTTGCTTCCAATTATCGTACGTAAGACTCGAGAATCGAGACCATGTGCCTCTCACCTTTTGGCTTCAAATATAATCAAACAAAGGCCAGGCTGTTTTCAGGTCAGGAAAGGCACAAAACCATGGTAGACCTTGACCTAGAGACTGACACCAAATTACAATCCACACAGTTGTAGGCTAGTAGCTGTGGCTGTGTGTATTACCATGATAATCAGAATAGAACAAGTCTTTTGAACGGTGGAAAGGACAGGATTAAACAGAGACAAAAATTGACACTAGTAGCAGTAAAGAGAGTTTGATCAACTTACAAAGTGGCCAGCTCCAAGAATCCAGTAAAAATGTAAATTCCTGTAAGATTTTGTGAAACCCTTCGTTATTTTTTCATCCTCACAATACAATGGTGTTCTGTCCATGCTCAAAAATGTTCTCAGTCCATCCCATCTGAAAGGGATAAATGAATAACAATTCAAAATTTGCACGTTATCATGGATTCAAGCATAATAATTCGTAAGTTACACAACTATTAACAAGTAATTGCATCGTTTATTATATATCTTACTTGAGCTTTTCAAGCCATGCCTCAGTTCCCTTGGTTGAGCAGATCACATCCAGCTACAACAACCAAATAAAATTATGTAAGCTTAGTCTATAGCAATGCTGCAACAAATAGAGGGGCATTAAAATTTATTATCGGTATTGATTACATGCGAATATCGTCCCTTATTTGTTTGGTATAATTATAGATAATGAGAACTAAAGAATTATAATAATCCTCTTACTTGACCACTGTATACTGTGATATTGACTCCTTTTGCAAGCAATTCATCCACCTCATTGATCCTTGGCCTCATGAAATCTCCTTCAAGTGCAGAGAAAACAAGATCCGATTGCCCTCCCCATCTGCAAATCAAACACTGTTTTAGTACTTACATGTGGGTTAGTCTTTAGACACAAAATAACTACTCACTGGACGTTGTCTGGGATAATCTTTAGCTTCTTTTTAATAGGACCATTCATTAGGCTGTCAATATCGCCATCACCACCGGGAGTTGGCCTTAAAGAGTTCAAGTATCTAGAGTAACGCTTTTTTGAAATTCCCCATTTTAGTTCAGAAGCTGTCAAGGATACAGGATCCATCCCTGAATCCAACAGAAAATTGTAGAAATCCTGCAAAAATACGTCATGCGTGATCTAGAACATTTTTCCTTTGAGCAAAACCATCAAATTGTCACTGGATTGAATAAAGAAAAGATGAAATTGTACCACTGAGTTGCTGCTGGAACTAATAACGTTCTCAAGTTCGGACCACGTTTCTGTTGCCTCTACGAACTTACCAGTATCAAGTTGTTGCTTAATTTGCTGCGCTAGACTGTTTCCTGAAATAAATTTGTTAGCCAACAAAAATTTTCTCAACTCTAAGTCGCATTTTAAGAAGTAAGAAATGGAGACCTGTTAGACTTCTGTGCACCAGTGTTGTCAAGCCTTGAGACTTCTTTAAGAAGAGGACCCCATGAGAACTACAACGAATATGTTAAATTTAGTACAACTCTCACTTTCCCTATGTAGTAAGAGAATTAAAATATCTTCATTTAAATTTCATACCACAAAATCTTCTGGTGAAATCCAAGTGTCCCCCAATGCAATTCCTACAAATAGAGAACAAATTCAATGTATGTTCCGTACCCAGTATTGGAAATGGTTGAACTTCTTGTACTATTTAATTCTTCGTAGCAAACGTGTCATCAAAATTTAAGAACTCAGCAACTCATTTAATTTAAGATTGAAATTTGACCCTTATTTCACATCTATATTTGAATTTCGTCAACTTAAGATTTTAAAAAAAAGATGATGATTACCTCCAAAATTGAGCTTTAATTTTCCTGCCTCTATAGCCTTTAGTGCTGATAATCCAAGAGTGACAGCAAATTTTCCTCCATAAGACTCTGCCACTATATAAAGTGGACTCTTTTGGAGGCTCTCATTTCTATTAAAATTTTTTATCAACAATGTAGTTAAATCATTTGCAGCTTCAACATCAGTTTTAACAAACAGATTTTTGTCGTCCTGCTCAACAAAACTATATCCAGTCCCAACAGGATTATCCTATAGAAAAAAAAATTAGAAAAACAATTAATAAGACCAAGATATTATAATTTTATGGATATATAAAGAATTAAAGGCTTACTACAAATAGAAGATCAGCTTTTCTCAGCCATGTGGAATTTCTAGGCTTCAAAAAAGTGTCTAAAGGCCCAATCTCTTGAAAATTCCCAATTCCAACTCCAGAAGCACCCTGTTCATATTACAAAATTTGTAATTCAAATACATATGTAAACATTTCAGAAAATTATCAAAGAAGAAATAAGAAAACTCTGGATTTATAATGTAAAACAAAAGTTACAACAATTGTTCAATTTCAACATTTTACAGTGCAAGTTAAAAAAAAAAAAATTAATACTTACAGGTCCACCCTGTAGCCAAAGAATGATAGGCCATGGCTTGTTTGGATCTTGAGACCTGAATGGACTTCTGTAGTACCACCAGAACATGTGAGCCTCTGTTACATACAGACACAGAAAAAACAACAGTATAAGCAAATTAATGAACGAATTCAGCATCTAAATCAATAAATTCAGATCTGGAAAATTCTGCTTACTGGGCCTGACTTCAACATATCCCCAAGCCTCCGATCCATCTTGTGTTCTTGCACCACTGGCTATTTCTCCATGAACCCAGAAAAAAGCAAGAATAAAAACTACAAC